CTTGTAAATCCTTGAAAAATCTTACGAACCAAGCAAAACAAAAACAAGAAAATATAACAAGACATGCGGCATCTGCCACCGCGGACACGAGGCGGCCCATGTTCCTCAGGCAAATGGAAGCAGGGATGAAAATCGGGAGGGTTCTGAGCACTCAGGATTTAGGGATCGGGATGTATGGGCCAATCTTGGATTCTGAATTTGTTAGTTTGGCATTATAGGAGTTAAAGGCATCCCGAGGTAACAGCTAAATATCCTAAACGCTGAAACCAACCAGCTCATATGTTCTGTCAAAATAACAGATGCACTTCACGAGAGACTTTAAAGCAACATGTTGATTCCACAGCTGCTCGTGTTTATGCTATTTGTTTATCTCGATACTTTGATCCCTGCTTGTACCTTCACTCATTTCACTGATACCCTCAGACATTTCAATTAGTTAGTCTATAACTCACCTCGAACAGGACCCGCAGCCATCTTTGCGCACTTACGCAAGTGCACGCAAGACAATTCAGCAGATCTGGCAAGCCCATGGAGTGAAGCAGATCGGCGCGAGGATGTCAGCTCGTGCCTTGTAGCTGCTGCTGCTGCGCCAACGGTCGGACTTGTGCTCACACGAGGATACAAGCATTCCTTGTCTCGAACAGTGCAGGCTTTTGCAGTCGTGTTCAGGCTAAGTGCAAGCAATTGGCGCGGCGGGGTGAAAACTTCATTCGCAACTGCTGTGCCCGGTGTCCTGGTGTTCGTTGTGACCATGTGAACCGGCCGTTGATTGGTCTTTGCCAGCACTTCCACTGCGCGGGTGCCGGCAAGTATCGACCATTCACCGGTTTCTGCCACACTCTCACTGTCGCCGGCTCCTCCTTCATGCAAAGATGTTTTGGGTAAACGTTTTGAGCGAAATGCGCTGCGGAAGGGCCTTCCCGGTAATGCTTGTCTGCATAGCTGAGGCGCATGCAGCGTCGGTCTTGGTGGCTAACCTGCGCTGAATGTGCTTGGACGAATTGCAGTTCATGGGGACCTGGTTCGAGCCGCTTGGCTTCACGGTCGACGGGCACGCATGTAGTACCTCAGAGGCCACACTACGCGTTCTTTCGAACACAACCAGGTGAAGATAACCGAATCGGCGTGCCTTGCATGTTGGCCGTGGCTTCGATTCAGGCTTAGCCGCTTGCAGAGCTCGGAGCATGAAAACCCGGCAGCGAGCATGTCTGACCGTGTTTGCGACCTCACAATAGACCAAACAATCGCCGACCTTTCGTGACATCGTCGGTTCTGGTGGAAGTGCCTCTCAGGTTGGCGCATGTCTTGGCAAGCTTCCAACATCTCGATTGTGGGGGCCTGCCTCGTCCGAACCGAGTAAGCGACGGAGGGTCCTGTTTTCGAGACTGCCTGGGATGTTTCCACATTGCCGTGAGGATAAGCGAACAGATTGGGCAGGCCGGCCTTCCAGTACCATTCGGGTTGAAGATAAGGGGCGAGCTTTCTCTGTTACTCTGTGAACCACGGCGCTGCGTGAAGCTGCCATGTAGACGAATTACTGCGTAGACTGACTGCCCGACATATGATGGTGCAAAGCTGATGTCAGCACTCCCTCATCAACGTCCACAAGAGCACTACAAACTAGCCAAAGCAGTCGGAGGCAGCAGTGTTTCAAGTTTCCCTCCGACGCGCCGAAGGAATTCTCGTAACAAGATGGTCATGTTGCGGCGGGAGGCGAGGTGTAAAACCTGTTCCGTTACATTACATTTCGGATCACTTAATTAAGCTGCAAGCACGCAGCAATAAGAATTCCTCGTGATGCTTCGAAAATAAAATCAGATACCGGTTTTTCACGGAACTAACAAGAGACATGAACCGAACCATGCACTTGCTACTTGCGCTTTGCATCGCCTCCTTTTGACTGGATTGCTGCTGGCCTATTCTGCCGCGCTCATGTGCCTAAGTAGTGGCAGCATGGGTGCGTAAACTGCAACGTCTCCGAGTGACGGCATGAGGCATGGATATGGCCACAGCGCAAGCTCCAAAGTGCCTGTGTAGGTGCCCAGGCTTCAAACTTCTCCTGCCAGATATCAAAGAGCATGAGTCGTCGTTTGTCTATCTGCTGTTCTTTCTGCCTCGGGTTTGATCCGAGTAAGACTTGCCGCCAGCGTGGCCAACAAGTCCAAGGATGTGCTATCCTCCAACCCGCATCCAATTGCAAGCGGCGAACGCGGCAGGCATCCGTGCCTCTGACCGGACGATACATGGCCAGTGGTGTGGTGCGAGGCTGATAGCTGCCACGACTCTGCCGCCCAAGGGCTCTTGGTCTTGCAGAGAGCTTGCCAGAGGCTCGTACCCACCTCATGACAGCCATGACGACAGCCACGCAAGGAACATGAAAAACACGGTTCGGAGTCTGAGTCAGGTGCCTGTGTTGCTGCACGGCATCACCAACAACGTCTTGCCTGGCGCATGATGACGCGGTCCATTTGAACCTGGGCAAACAACATGAAGCGCCGGCTGTCCAGACTGGTGGCGCCGCATGGAACTCCAAAGTCTCATAGTAGGCAGGATATAGCATCACTGCAGTGCCACCACTCCTTATAGAATGATGCAAGCACTAACCAGGGAGGAAGGATGCACTTGGACACACGCACGCACACACACACACACAAAGCACGCAGAGCCTGACATGGCCCTTGCTTCCATGCTATCGAGCAAAACGCTTGACTCTTGTATTCTTCGTTGCGGCGTGCAGCGACCGTAGCACGGGTGCCGTTGCAGACCTTGCAACATTGCAAACAAGGCAATGGAGCTAGTGCAAAGCCCTACCGCAACCCCGCAACGAGGCAAATGCGTTTCCATGCGGGCTGCCCCAGATCACGAGGTCGAAACCGCCATGTGGTACCACTCTGATAGAGGATCGGTGAACACAGCAGCAACAAACGCAAGTGCATCCATCAATCTAAATGACCCATCCGTCCTCCCACGACAGTGCATTGAATAGTAATGCCTTTTACTTGTCGCATTTGCAGACACCGCAAAAGTGCAAGCACCAAAGCGTCAATTCTAAGGCAAACGCTCTATCTCTCGGGCATGGCTTTCATCGCTTTCAGTTTTAGGGAAAGTATAGTGAACCCCAAACCTGGAAAAGATGACAGTCCCCAAAGCTTGCCTCTGGGGCATGCGTTACTATATTACTGCTGCTACTTGTAGTACTACAATCATAAGAGTATGTGTACATACATATATATATATATACATACATATTATGTATATATAATAAAGATAGGTAGATAGATAGATAGATAGATAGAGAGAGAGGGAGAGAAATGGAGAATCTAAGTATGCTATGTTTGAAAAGCTCTCTCTCTCTCTCTCTGTCTATATATATATATATATATACATACTGATATGCATACGCATAATATAGCCTTTACCATCACTATTACAGAATATAGGATAGGTTCTGCCCCTCTGGTAGCCAAGACGATATTCAGATTCCGATACACCGTGCTCTTGGGCGTAATCCTTCCAATATAGGGGACCTTCATGCATCCAATCGGGTTTTGGGGGCATATTCTACTGACTATAACCATACTAGAGCCTGGACCTGCTGGGCTATCGCAGTTGCCAACTGATCCGAGGAGGAGGGCCCATATCAAATGCCATGAGCTCTACATCCTGACCCCTTTGATCCTGAAGCCTCATAACGAGGAGGCCTATGCAAGGGTCTTTGGCTGATACTGGCCTACACCGCAGACACCAAGCCTCAAAACCTATACCTTTTTAAACCTCTAAGCCCCATTAAAGCCCTAACGAAATCCACCCAAACCCTCAGCCTGAAAATCCCACACATGAGCCCTGACACCGTACAGACAAAACAATACCCCACAAAAACATTAAAACAACAAAACTGCGTGGTTTCATCCTTGGCAGGTGACTCAGCGATCACGCACGCCTGGACGTGCAACTTGCTGCGGTGAGGGCTCAGGGTTCATAGTGGGAATTCACACCAAACCCTAAAGTTTAGGGCTTAGGGTTTGGGCATAAGGGGGTAGGGTTTAGGGCCTAAACCCTACCCCCTATGCCCAATCCCTAAACCCTAAACCCTAACCCTAAACCCTCAACTGGAACATTCACCGGAGCCCCGAAAGCCCTTCGACAGCTTCCAGGTCCCAGGCCCTTGATTCAAGCGGTTCAAGGCTGGGTTCAGGGTTTAAAGGTTCGGGTCTTAAGATTTCGGGCTTCGAGGGTTAGCCCTAAACCCCTATATCTTAAGACCCTAACTTAGGGTCTCAAGATGTAGGGGGCTCAGGGTTCAGGGGTTTTAATTTTTTGGAGTTAGGGCTGAAGGGCTTTGGGATTTAGTGGGTTGGGGCTTCGGTTTTGAGACTCTGAAGAGCCGAATGCTCCAAACCGTTCGAGCCCCAATCCAGATTCATGCCATGAGTGTTTAGGGTTTTAGGGTTTAGGGTTTAGGGTTTTAGGGTTTAGGGTTTTAGGGATTAGGGTTTTAGGGTTTAGGGTTTTAGGGTGTAGGGTTTTAGGGTTTAGGGTTTTAGGGATTAGGGTTTAGGGAATTAGGGTCTAGGGTTTTAGGGTTTAGGGTTTTAGGGATTAGGGTTTCGGGAATTAGGGTCTAGGGGTGTAGTGTTGAGGGTCGACATGCTTTAGAAGTTTAGGCCGTAGGGCCCGGAAGCTGTAGCTGAAAAAAGGGTTTAGGTTAGAAGCTGCCCCCACCCTGTAATCGTGGTATAATAGGAATATAATAGGGCCATAATATAATCCTTATAGTCACTAGTACAGGGTAGGGGCCCCTTCAAAGATTTAGGTGTGTGGGGGCACTTTGGGGTAGGCTGGGCTTTGCAGCTCACATTTTGGATCTTCGAGCTTTCGACTGGAGAATCTTGGGGTGCTGTCCCTGCACTTTTCCTAGTTCATGCTTATTTATATTCCTTACTGGGTTTAAGTACCCATAAACATGTAACATGTTACTCAACTCTGACAAAGTTTCAGGGCTAGAGGTGGAGTTGGAGCTTCCCAGCGAACGCAGCGCAGTAGAAAGGGAATCCTGGAAATAAACTCTCTGCGAGCCGCCGTGACCAGGGTTCACATATGTATCAACAGTGCAAGCGACCGTTGCAACCTAAACCAAGGTCTCAGCCATAATGACTTCACAAAACCTTTCCAAGACCCATAACTCCGGACCAGCAATCCTATGTTGCCTCCTTCGGAGTAATCGACTCTTAAACCTTGCATGAGTGTCTCTATTTAGGTCCCCAAAAGAAGGTACTGCAGCTTTCTAGAAGGAGCCTGAAACGGACCCGAATTCGGAGACCTGCCTATGTCTTTGCTGCTTTTGGCCCCTTTGCGATTGCCCCCTGCCCTGGCCTGACGTTGCGCCCTCGCATTCCGGCTCTTGAGACCCTTACCTCAGGTTTCTTGGGGTGTGTGTTCCTTAAGGCGCTGGATAGTATTCCTTAATTAGGGGGCCTTGTTTTCCTTAAGTAACGGGCGCAATATCTCATCATTTGGAGCAATGCAGGGTGTGCGGCTTTCCGTGCTACAGGGTTCAGGGTTTAGGGCTTTGTGTTGTGGGTTTTGTAGGCTCCGTCGGAAATGAAGTCAGCCCCACATCAATTCACGGCAAATCTCAAGGTTCCTGAACACCCCAAAGAGCTCAAGAGAGAAAGTCCTACCCAGCCGGCCTGACTTCAATGTACATACGGGCATGGCAAACAGATGCATGTATATATATATATATATATATATATTTCTGTTTATTCATACCAAGGGATAACAAAGCCACGTTCGCTTGCCCAAGATATGGAAGAGCTACATCTGAACCTCGAGCTCTGGTTCCTGACTTTAGGGTTGTTGTCTGCTGGTCCTTATACTGGGCTTAGGGTTTAGGCTAGGGTTTCTCGTCTGGTTGGAAAGCCCACTAACTATATGCCCTATTCTGCAAACTACCATATTCAGACATCGCTTTCGCTAGTTCCTAACTTGCACGTCGAAGCCCTAAGACCCAGGGCGTAAGTCATAAACTGTAAATGCCAAATCTCTCCTTCCCTCTAACCCCTAAACGCTGAAAACCTTCCCTGACCTGACTCCGACTCCCTATCCAAGGATCCCAAGCTGGACCTCTTTCCTCAAAGTCTCGAGTGTGGATTGAGTGAGGATCTCGCATAGAGGAAGTCCAGATCCCAATACCATTTACGAGAAGATCCTGGTTTAGACACCCCAAAACCCCTAAACCCTAAACCCAAACCCCTAAACCCTAAACCCTTGTAAGGCCCGGTCTTTGGAGATCCTTGGGCACTGGGGCAAGAGCTGAGAACTGGCAGCACCACTGCAAGTGCAGGAGCCGTCACCCGCTGGACAAAGACAACCTGCTGAAAGGGCCCCGTCCATACTAATGATAGTCATCGGAACTGTAAACTAACTGTTTCTAAGTGGTGCCCTGAACCCCAAACCCTAAAACCCTAAACCCTAAAACCCACATTGCCTAAAAATTGAGCCATGAAGCCCCATGACCTCACATCCCTAAGCTCGACAACCCTAAAGCCTAGTAGTAGCAGCCAACCCAAAACACCTGCACCCACCCACTTTGTAAGACATGCTGCGCCTCATCTTGCATGGTTTTACTTTCAGTCCGCTGGCCGCAAAATGCACGACTGGCATCCCGCACATGGCATATGGTAGCACATACCGCAGTAGATGATATGAAATATCAAACACAAAAACAACATGAGTATGACACCGTAGTTTGTGACTCACACTGTTCTAGTGATCGGGTGTGCGCCATGGAATACGCCGATCTCGCTGATAATGTCGACATCATGGTGGAGGTGTAGGCTTCAGGGCAATCGATAAGATAAGAACTCCTGAAACACCCTTTTCTGTAGTGCCCCTGCAAATTCAATACCTATGCAGTTGAGACTCAACGGCTACCAAAGGTTGTTGTGGATTACCGCAAATCTCGAGCCCACGAGCCTCTGCCAAATCGCGCAGGCATTTGCTGACCTGTGAAATTGCGAATCGTTGCATCTGCAGAGGCAGCCAAACTGCAAAACAGAAGCTGGGAGAATCGACGACACGCAACAACATCATCAGCAGCAGCAACAACAGTAGCAGCTCAGTAGCAATGTAAACGAAAGAAGGACACTTACACCTACATATTTGTGTAATATTGTATATATATATATATATATTCATATATATATATATATATACATATATATATATATATATATATATATATATATATACATATATATATATTCATATATATATATATATATATATATATATGGTATATATATATATGTATATCATATATATATATATATATATATATATATACACACCATATATATATATATACTATATATATATATATATACCTGTATTTATGTGTGTATATATGTGTGTATATATATATATATATATATATATGTATATTGTATGTACATGTAGGTATAGTGTGTATTATACATCTATATATTGGTATGTAGACAAGGTACGGTAACACGAAACATGGCTTTACGGTTTACCGTTTAGGGCTTCATACTCGGAGTTTCCTAATTCAGGAATCTCGGGCTCCCAAATCCCAAACCCAAAACCGTAAAGCCGAAACCCTAGCCCCTAAACCCTACACCCACCCTAAACCCTAAACCCTAAATCCGAAACCCTAACCCCTGTAAGCCCGACGCCCGTAAAGCGTTGAGTCTCTGGCATCCTTCTTGCCCTTCACGCAGCTGATGATCTCGTCCAGGTGCGGCTCCTCTGAGCTTCGTGGGATTTGGGCAAAAATGAATAATCCCAGACCTTCCAAAATCCCTTAATTAAGGAATATACCTTAAATTAAAATAGGATCCCAAAAAAGAATTAAGGTATATTCCTTAATTAAAGGATTTTGGAAGGTCTGGGATTAGCAGTTTCATTTCGCAGGTTTCAGTCTCTGGGATTTGGGTAACAATGAAAAAAGTTTCATTTCGCAGGTTGGAGTCCGAACCAAGCTATTCTGAGTTCAGAGTTCATTGCTGATGTAGGGTTTGGAACCTATGTCGGGTTTGGCATTTCTCAGAAGTTTTTCAGGAGATACTATCTCGACGTGCAGCGTTATAAGGCGAAGGTTGTATGATCTTTGTGGGAATGCCGGGAACCGAGCTCTTGGCTCTAAAGGCCCTCCTAAATCATTCGAATCCTATGCCCTAAACCCTCAGCCAAAAAGACTAAACACCAAAGTCTTGTAGAATCCACCCATGGCTTATACGGTGAGGTTCGTAAAGGGCGTAAATATTCGCTGGAAGCATCATGGGACTTAGCTATAAGGCTTTAAGTAGGCTCGTAAGTACTACAGTTGGGGCTACTGCACATGTCATGTAATCCTACTTACAGCATGTAGTGACTAGGTCGCAAAACCCACGGGCAGCTCTGATGGCCGATGGCTACCCATAACACTTGCTATGCTCAAAGCAATGTTGTGTAATGTGATGTAACACGTGCCTGGGGTAATTCAGCCTTAGATGATGAATCATGCGCACCCGGCGTGTGTTTGAGGGACACCCCTAAACCCATGAGGATTTCGGGCAGGCTGAGCGTCCTTGAACCATAAGCCCAAAACCCAAACTCCGTGCGCCCAGAGGCCCTTAAACCCTAAGCTCCCCAAGCGGTCACACGTTCGTAATTCACCCACGCCTGCCAACAAAAGTCAAGACAGTTCCCTACATGGCTCCTGGATGTGATTCTCAGAGGCATATCTGCACTGTCTTGACTGTAAGCTGCAGCATGGTTTCAGAGCCCATTCTTCTGCCTTCCAGATAATCCGGGCTTCCCCAAACCCCTATAGCCATGTCTTAACTTTTGCTGGCAGGCGCGGGTTCAGAGCTCATTTTTCACACAAAGTTGGCGGAACCAGAACGAAATCAGTCCACCTCTCAACAGCCCTTCCCAAAGTAAAGTCCTGTTATTGAAGCGCCTAGAATCCAATGCGAAAGCCTCTTACCGGCAAACCTGCAGAAAAACGCCCGGTAACTTAGGTGCGTGTGTGGCCCCTATGGCCCCCAAATCCCAAACCCCGATGCCCCAGAAGATCCAAAATTAAACTCTAAACCCTAAACCTCAACCCTAATCCCTAAACCCCTGAGCCCAAAACCCCAAATCCTGAACCGTGAACCCTAAACCCCCCGAATCTCCCCTATAGACTCCTTATATAATCAGAACCCTTATGGATCCCTAGAACGGAACCCTCATAATCCTCAAACCCTCAGTCGGTCCAGGTCTGAGTTCGCACATAGCGACATGAGGACGTCGGTCGCTTCTGACGCGTCCAGGCGAACCTGCGCCGTCGTTCGAAACTCCACGGGTCAGGGGAAGCTCAAGGGTTTTATGACTATGGGTTTGTGAACTTGAATTAGGGGTTCTATAGGGTTTCACCCCTAAATTACGGGTTCTATAGGGTTTCATGACTTCGTGGTTTAAAGTTCGGGGAATCTAGGAGTTTTCAGGATCTTTCCAAGTTTCTGTGCGGGGTCGCTGAGAGAAGGTCCACATGGTAAGTGCTACATACATAGGTACATATATGTATGTATGTATGTATGGATGGATGGATGTATGTATGTATGTATGTGTATGTATATGTATATGTATATGTATATGTATATGTATATGTATGTATATATATATATGTATATATATATATATATATATATATATATATGTATATATATATATATATATATATATATATATGTATTACCACATATTATATACACATATATTGTATATACATGAAGAAATGTATAAACTATGTGTACATATTATATATATATATATATATATATAATATATATATATATATATATATATATATATATATGCAAATACATATATATATATATATATATATATATATACACACAACATACACACATGTTTGTCGAACAATACACATGAACATCACAATTAAACAAGTTAATTAACAGAAAGGGACTTGGGCCAGGGGCTGTAAGATATCGGGGTTGGACTGTGAACAACCTACACCATACGACCCCCTCATATGAAACATCCTGGGCACTGCATTTCTCAGCGCTGAACCCGTGGCCCTCAAGAGCAAGTCCCCGCGATTCAGCAGTTTGGAGTTCTACGTCCCAGGGAAAACCCGAGCAATACAGAAGCTTCATAATTAGGTCTGGAGGGCTGCAGCATATACTTTAAGACACTTGTGCGGGAGTGTACGGGTTGTAGTAAGTAGGTTATAAGTAGAGTTATAAGTATCCTAACTGGAGTTACCCCAATTATAGCCCTACTTATAAACGAGAAGTATTCTGACGCGCTGAAGATGTGGGAGCTTCCCAGGGTTTAGGATTCGGGGCCTTGAGCCTCCTTCACCCAAGTAAGCCCCAGGCCCCAAGCCCTAAACCCTAAGCCCTAGTAGACCCCTCGTAGAACCGCTAGGAGAGAGCCCTTCTAGAAACCCTTCTAGCGCCCTGTAAGTGGATCCCGAAACCCTTATCATAACCCTTCAAAGAACACTTTAAACTCTTTCTTCTAATGGTTAAGTCCCCTAGAGTAGCCCCGGGCCCATCACCCGCAGGCCTCGTTACTCGTGTCCATCAGCAAGGCGGTTGTAAGAGGGAGGAGCTCCTACGCTGGAGTTTCGTGGAGCGTTTCTTAGTGGCTAGTATAGGGGCCTTAATAATTAGAAACAGGGTGTTATTTAAGGAACCCCCCAAAACAGTTTCGGTAATTATTTGGGCCCCTATGTTAGAGTTTCAGGTGGAAGGATATCGGGGCTTACTAAATGCCTGGCCCATGTATCAGTGTAGGCTTTCGATATCTTTCGATACTAGAAGGATTCGTCGGGCCCGGGTGGCAGGACAGTAGCAAAGCCCAAAAGAACCTGTTGGAACCCTTGTTGTTGCGAAACAACTTTATCGTAACCCTGAGGAGCCCGTTCAATATCGAAAAAAGTGCCGCCTTGCTACCCCTTTTCAAACCAAAAAGCTGGTGTTAGAAAGCCTCCTTCGAAGCCAAAAATGTCTTTAGAGCTCGAATCATAGGAAAGGCTCCGGAAGCTTTTCGGCGACAGCAGCGGCACCATCCGCCCCACGGCGCCAGCAAAGCTTCAACAGTCGCCTTGGACCATGGGCTCTTGAGGGTTTGGGTTTTTTGACCATATGGGTGTAAAGCCGTTTCATGAAAGTTATAGGTCTGTAACTGAGACGGTTTGATAAAGGTCTTACAAGTGTTTCAGAGCACTTGCATATGGTTTCGTAATGCGTTATACAGGTTTCAGGGTTCCTAATAAAGGGACTTTGATCAGTACATGTTAAATAGATTTGGGGTTCGCAGGCTTTCTAAACCAATTGCATCCATCTGCAGCAGGATGACTCTGTAAACTGTGATTCTCTTTAAACCTTGAAGATCCTTGCAGAGACTATTCGGTTGCTTACCCGCATGTATCTATGGTGGTTTGTATCCCGCCTCGGGCGTTCGGGAACCGTGTCCCCAAGCTTCGGTCTAAGAAGGCTTAGCCTGAAACACCACAGCCCTCCAACCCGGGACGGAGACTACAACGCCCCTGCAACCCACCCGCACCCACCCATCCACCCACCCATCCAACCCACGTACCTGCATGCTTGCATGCATGCGAACAGGCTCACAAACATACATGCGCTCATGCATATTTGCTTGCGGCAATGACCTGTGGCATACTTACAAAGAGAGGCAGGTTTTCGGATAGACCTGTACGCATACAGGTGTAAATACAGCTGTAGAAAGCCACATCCTTACAAACAGGGATAGTTAGCTAGAAAGAGAACGGAGCTGCACGTTCTTGAAGGGCTCCACCATTCCAAGTTGTAGCACGGGGTTCCTGCCTATCAGCAAGCAGCAAAGGCAGCCCCTTCAACGCACAGGCTAAAACTCGAACCACAGGGCGCAAGGATTTGAACTTTAGAGCGCGATTGAGTGCTGAAGTTTGCGTGCTGGTGAGTGAGGCATAGTAAAGCCAACACCTTGAACTCACTGCCGATAGCTTACGACCCCAAATCCTTTTAACCGAAACCGAACAAGGCCCCATACCAAGCCTGAGCCACTATATATATCCCCTTCAGGAACCCTTATAGATCCCTTTACGGGAACCCGTCACCAAATCCGAACCCCCCCGCCCCTCCACCCCCCCTAAACCCTAAGCCCCTAAACCCCTAAACCCCTATAACCCTAAACCTGAACCCCTAAAAACCCTAAATGCCTAAACCCCTAAACCCTAAGCCCCTAAACCCTAAGCCCCTAAACCCTAAGCCCCTAAACCCTAAGCCCCTAAACCCTACCCCCCCCGAAACCGCGCCGAAGCCACAGGGCGTGCAGCTTCTGTCTCGGTGGCCGCCGGGGCTCCAGGCCCGCCTTGAGCCTCGAAAGAGTCTTCGTTGGGCTTTCTGTGGGTTTAGGGTTTAGGGTTTAGGGTTTTGGGTTTAGGGTTTAGGGTTTAGGGTTACTAAGGTTCCTATAAAGCCCTTTTAGAGACTTCTAAGGGTTCCTTATAATTTGGACCAGAGTCTTCGTTGGGCTTTCTTCTTACCGTTGGTTACTTAAAGGGTCATGGGACTTAGTAACTAGGGTTATAATTAGGGTGACTGGACTTATAACCCCAATTAAGGTACTTATAACCTTACTTACTAAGTCCCACGATCCTCCAAGTAGCAGGGAATGGAAGAATGGTAGTAATAGTAGTTATAATGGTACCCCATTCCTCTATTCCCTACTAACCAAAGGTAAGTTCAGGGTTTGGGGTTCCCGGTTTGGGGCTCAGGATTTCGGGGTTTGGGGTTTAGGGTTTAGGTTTGGCTAGGGTTTAGGTTTGGGCTTTAGGGTTTAAGGTTCAGGTTTAGGGTTGTGGGTAGGGTGCTATTCGGCCAGGGTTTACGGTTTGAGGTTGGTGGTTTTGGGTCAAGGTTTAGGGCTTGGAGTGTAGGAGTTTCTTGTGGGTCAGGGCTTTTCTGGGATGCACGTGGTTGTTCTTCGGTGTATTTTTCAGTGTCCTTTGAAAGCGATAGTTGAGCTTATTGGCTTCTATGGTGGTTTGGGGTTGAGACGGAAGTTCCAGCTTATGTAAGGGTAAAGGTTTCTATGGATTTATAACCTTCCACAGGGTCGTAGCTGTGTTTGGAGTCAAGCCTTTTTGAGGTTTAGGGCTGAGGGAAACTTTGAGGTGATGGGTTCGAGATTATCAAGCGACTGTTAAGTACAGGGTTAATTAGGGCTTGCTTCTTTTGAAGGGCGACTTTTCTAAGGCTTTGTGCTTTCGATCATCAAGTGCCTGCGCTCGTGCGGCCAAGGAGCGCCGGGAGGATGGCTTCGAAGGCGCATGGATCAGAGCCTGGTAGTGCGGTTTAGGGTTGGCATCATCACCGAAGTACGCAGCACATCAGTAGTAGTGTTTCTCTTCTTCCTCTTATTGCGATATGAGCATTGTTTTTGTCGCTACTGCTCTTGTTATTGTTATTCGTATTCTTACTCCCCTTTATCCATCGGCGGGAGCAGCCGCAGCGTCATCAGGCCATACCACGATTACCATGCAACAGCAGAAGCATCCTCATATTGACCGTTAACACCGCTTTCGTGCTCGCTCATAGCATACCTTCATGCCTTTGCTGTTATACCGACATCACATTTACTTGAGGGGCCTTACTAGTGAAAACTGCTGGAGTAGGCAAACACGTCCGAAGAGAAATCCTGCCAGCGTTACCAATTCAAGACCCTTCTGAGACCAACCCGAGGTCCGAAACTGTCAAACCCAATTCCCGAAACCTTTAAAACTCGAACAGGAGCCCAACTTAGCCCCAAAACGCCAACCTTTCAAAGCAAGATCCCTACGAAGGGATATGATTCAGCTCCCTAAACCCTAAACCCTAAACCGTTTGTCTTTGTGTTGCCCGAACTCCAGCCCGGCACTCTACACCCTAAACCCGCAACCCCAACGAAACCCTAAAACCGTAAATTCAAGCCCTATAATTGCCCACAAACCTAAGCCCGAAACCGGAAACCAAAACTACTCACTGGCCGAAAACCCAAAGGAATAAAACTTGAAACTTTCAGATTCAGAATCGACTAACCCTATAAGTTGAAAAGTTGAGTTTACAGCCAATAAGACTAAACCCTAAGCTCCGAACCTTTCAGCAGGGCTTCACTCGCCGCCACCGCCGCGTTGCGCACGTCCGCGTGCCGATCCTGCTCTCCCGACCCAGAGAGCCCAATCAAGGGTTTAGGGTTTAATGTAGGAACCTGATTAAGAAACCCTGGGCCTATAAGCCCGAAATAGTTTAGCAGGATTCATAAAAGGAACCCCAATAAAGGCCCAAGGTTTCTTAATCAGGCTCCTACAGTAGGGCTTAGGGCTTGGGAATATGCCTTGAATTAGAAGGGGCTTGAGATTATGATCGGTTCCGAGGCTTCGAGGTTCAGGGGTTTTGGGTTCAAGCGTTGTTTACCGAGTGCTGTTCGCGCTAATCAGCATACTACATCAAAAACGGTAACGAATGCGCCCTAAACCGCTTCTCCGAGCTTTTTGAACCTCTCCCAGCCCAACAAATCACGGGTCGTCGTCGAAAAAACAACAAACATCAGGGCGGCCTGTGCTACAGAGGCAATGCTTGTATCGGTGCCCGTCATGGCTTTATTGCGCTTGCTAGGTCATCTGGACTCAACTCAGAGCTTGACAAGGGTTGATCAGAATTCTATACGGGGTTGCCAAACCACAATGTTACCTGGCGGGGTGTCTGGGGAAAGGCCTATGCGCAGAGGTATACCCAGTTGCTGCAAAGCGGGTGCCCTGTGGATGTACCGTCAGAACTGGCTCGAGCTTCGTAGAACTGGTTAACAAAACCTTTACGGATAATGTAGAGCATCATGCAAGGTCCTTGCGTGGATCTGAAAGAGTTTTACCAGGTGGTCTAGGGGGGGTTGTGAGGGCCAAACTCGTAAACAAACTACTTAAGTCCGAGTCCCGCTAAACACTAGTCACTAATCCCTGCAGGCATCTACAAACACTAGACACTGCTGGAGTTGTGTCGTTGTGCCACGGCGGACCTTGTTTGCACCCGTAGTTGGAGGCGGGTCGAGGCGACCTGGGCCCGCTTCTCCAACTCGTCATGTTGCAACGACTCTCACATGGCTTCAGACTGACCATCTGCCTGGCTTCACAGCTTGAATGGCTTAGGTCGGCTTCCGCTGTGACTTTAGATATAAGCCCGACCGCGGCCAGGAAGAAGACGCCGTGCTGCTGCCATGCCCGAGCCCGAACAGGTGGAGCTGGAAAAAGTCTCCTGACCAGGGTGCTCGCGGACTGGAGCTCACTCCTGCACCCGTTTGCACGGGCCGTCTGTGATCGCGGCGGTTGACGCGACCGCACTGGCGTTGTCCACATCGAGGGCATCGCACGCGGCATTGTGAAGACACGTCCCAATAAGGTGGTGGGGACGTGTCAAAAGGCACTGTGGATATCAATGACGATAGGCTACTTAAAGGTGAGTAAAAGGGCTTAGATGCTGAAGGCTTACCGCTGCCACCATAAACCCTGACCCTAAACCTCCAAGAGCCCTACCTTTCAGGGTTAGAGCCTCTCCCTTTCCGGGCAAGATACTGAAATGTAGGGTCCGGATAGACCCCCGACCTCAGTTGATCAATCTAAAGCCTAGGCCGTATATACTTCCTAAACCTACTTGTTGGGTATCATGGGGAACTGGGGGTTAACCTTTTGGGTTATAAAGGGATTTTATAGGGACTATACTACACCAAAAAGGTTGAAGGTTACCTACTCGACTACTAGGTAAACTCCTAAACCCTAAACCCCCGGAAAGGCAGCCACCTCATCATAACATGATTGGGCTCTCTGGGTAAACCCTAAGCCCGGAAGGGCAGCCACCTCCACCTTCGCGAGTACAGGCACCAGAGAACGGAGCAGCATGGGAGCGGCGATGCTTCCCACGGCAAGTGCCTCTCGGGCTCAGTCAGAAACTTACCTTGGGTTAGTAGGGGTTACAATAAGGGATCTATAAGGCTCCTAAAAGGTTACTATCGTATAGGGGCCTTATAATCCTATAACAAACCTTTGGTTAGTAGGGGGTTACGATAAGGGATCTATAAGGGTACTACAATATAGGGGCCTGAATAATCCTATAACTTACCTTTGGTTAGTAGGGAATGGAGGAATGGGGTACAATTAATAAGTACTATTACTACCATTCTTCCATTCCCTGCTAACCAAAGGTAAGCAAAAGTCGAATTGGGGGCGGCGAGGGCCTCAGGGTTTTGCAACTTCTCCGGCTGACGAGATAGTTCAACCAGCTTCTGTTTTTGGGAGCTGGCGGGCTATATATGATCCCGGTTCTCGGTTCACCGCCCCCCCCCCCCCCAATGGTATCCTCGCCCCCCCCGCTCCCCAAGCCGAACTGTGCAAGCTTTTTCCACACGAGGGCTCACACGCCAAGCAGACCCACGCAGGAAACCCAAACCACACCACACCACAGGGGGGAGTGGGGCAAGCTTTTTCCACACGAGGGCTCACACCAAGCAGACCCACGCAGGAAACCCAAACCACACCACACCACAGGGGGAGTGGGGTAACCAGCCTAAGCAGACCCGCTCCCGAACCACACCACACCACAGGGAGGGGGAAGCAACCCACAACCACACCACACCACAGGGAGGGAGGAGGAACCATTGGGGGGGGGAGTGGGGGGGGGGCCGGCCGAACCGGGATCATATATGGTCACGCGCTCCGCAGCCCCCCCCCTCTCCCCCCCAAAGGCCAATGGTCCGGGTGTAGGGTGGGGCCCCCCCTCCCCTGTGGTGTGGGGTGTGGGGTTCCTCTTCCCCCTGTGAGTGGTTGTGGGGTTTTGGGGTTTAGGGTTCAGCTTAAGCTTGTGAGTTTTGGGTTTATAAGGCTTCGAGTCGACAAGGGCTTAGGGAGGATTTGCGGTGTATGCTCTGCTTTAGGCTTAGAGCCTGCAGTTAGGTGGGGTTTAGGGTTGGGTGTTGTGTTTTAAGTACAAGTTAAGGTTGCTCAAAACAGGGGCATGCGCTGCGTTATAGGGTTTACGGCTTGCTTGCGAAGGGCTTGTGCGTGAGCCCTGGCCGCCAGCACCACCCCACCATCCGGTGGGCTCTAACCCCTTTCCGCACACGCCAGCCCCCCCCCCCCAAAAAAAAAAAAAAATCACCCACCCCTATCAGACCATACCATTGGGGGGGGGGGCTGGAAACGCCAGACGGCTGACCATATATGGGAGTTTCCGAAAATAGGGGACCCTGATATAGTACCTCAAAAAATAGGATCCTTATCACAAGGATCCCAAAAGAAGGTACCCCTAATTTTCGGAACCTCCCATATGTTGTAAACACGTGAGTCACACCGACGGGAACTTTAATGGCCTCTGCCGGACGGATCATGGGCCTTTGCGAGCAGGTAAGAGCCTACTTGGGGCTGCACACATAACCCCACTCATAGCCTACATACGCAGTCCCATGATGACCTTTCAAGTACATTAGCATGGATTTGCAACCCCAGGCCAGGTTGGGAATTTGTGGTTTTGTAGTTTGAGCTGTTCCAGTTGATGATTTGGTACTTCAGTAACCTACCCGGAGGCTTCATGCTAAATCCTTTTCTGGATTACCTTATAGGCTCCTACGTACAAACAACCAACAGGAACTACAAGGGAGCCTATGGGCACACCCCAAACCCAAATTCGAACCGTTCAGCAAAGCCTCATGCTCCGGAGTTTCCACTTGTACCAAAACATGAGCCGTTCCCTGGCTGCTGATGTCGTTATTATTTTACATTATACTATAGTATACAGCTACTCCCCAGACAATTGACTATGAGAAGCCCAGTGGATCCTAGAAGAATGCGTTTTTCGTAGTTTGCTGTCTGCGTGCATTGGTCATATCATGCTGCCCATGATAGGAGCCCTCAGGAATAGTTTTGGAAACTACATAGCTGCACCCCTATGTTAGCTTATGCTTTGCCTAGCCTGGGCTCAGCAGTTTCGGCGCCCGCGTCTACTGTCCCGCTTCAAATTACCAAGTGGCGGTAGAAGGTAGGTTTCCTTTGTGCTTAAAGATCAGAACACGAAGTCCATATGATCCTGGGGTCGTGCTCGGTAGAGCTTTCGGCTTGGTTTCACACTGTCGTGTGCTACATTGCATAGCTCCTCTCTGCACGAGTGCAGCTGTGATTTTGCCTGGCATGGAGTCCTTGCATTGTGACCAGTCTTGATTTCCATTACTGCTGTTGCGAATATGCAGAAACAACCCTCCATGTGTGGCATGGCCTGTGTGCGTACTGCGATGACAACGATCCATTCGGATTCTGAACCGATACTTAAAGGATCATGAGACTTAGTAACTAGGGTTATAGGTAAGGTAACTATACTTATAACCCCAATTCAGCTACTTATAACCTTACTTACTAAGTCCCATGATCCTCCAAGTAAGAACGACTTAGAAAGCCCCAAGCCGCCAGGCCCTGACACTCAGGAGTAATAGAGGGGTCTTAATAATTAGAATAGGGTTTGGGGTTATAATACATAGTTAGAAAAAGGAAACCACCCAAATAGTATAGGTAATTGTTAAAGCCCCTATACTGAATCTTTATAATAGCCCTTATGGACCCCTTTAAAGGAACCGTATAGTAATCTTAAAGCAAGGGCCAATTATTAAGGCCCTTTTATTTGATGCTAGCAAGCCGAGGCACAGCCCTCTCCAGTGCCCGCAGCAGCATGACGTCGCCCTCCCCTGGAATGTGGAGAACCTGGTTTAGAGTTCACGAGGGTTTCAGGTTTAGGGTTCAGGGATCTACCAGAATCTACCACGCCGAAGACATCACCGAAACCTCACTAAAGCCTAGATATCCGATTTTTGAATTATGGGCGTTTGAGGCTTTATCGAGCTTAAGGCATGTATATACTTCAACCTGGTTCAGGGTCGGCGGCCACGGCTTAGGGTTCAGGGTTTAGGTAACCGAAAGGCAAGCGGGGACCGGATTTGAAGATTAGGAGTAGGGCTACCAGTAGGAGCCAGGATTTCAGAGTTTGTTGGTTGTTGGAGACTCTTTTCAGGCTCCAGGGCTTCAGGCTTGGAGGGTTTCAGAGTTCAGGGTTGCAAGGTATTCAGAGTCATGTGGCTCTGGGGTATGCCCTGGGGTATTCGGAATTAGAGTACCTCCTTCGAGTTTAGTTTCGGATGTTCGCCGTTCTGGAGCAACTGAACGGACTCCAAAAGCATTCCGCAACCCGCAGCCTCGTCTAGCGCCAGCAGCGTCCGTGCCTGCAAGTGGGGGCACAGCAGAAACCTATACACACATGCATGTGTGTATGTATGTATATATATATATATATATATATATATATATATATATATATATATATTACACACGACAAAGCCCCAACAGCCCCTCACAACCCTTAACAAGCCCCTAAAGAGCGGTTGTGAGCCGTCATAAACACCGTATGAAACCTGAACAAACCCCCGTAAGAACTTCGTATAGGCGGCTAACAACCCCGCAAGTCAAACAGCTCAGTTCTACACCCTTTATTATCCCCGAGTAAGCTCGTCTTCAAGCCCGTTATGAACCCTTTATTTTGGGGCTCGTCTTTGGGGTTTAGAGTTTGGCATTTTAGGGGTTTAGGGGTTGGAGTTTCGGCTTTAGCTGGTAGAGTTTAGGGCATTTTAGGGTTCAGTCTCAGCCTGGCCTACAGGGTTTGTCTAAACTCCCCAACCAAGGCCGCCCCAAGGCAACTAGGAGCTACACGGCCCCTTCTTAAGGTACCGCGAAATTTTCATGAGCAGGAGTAGCAGCCGCAGAAGTAGCAGTAACACTAGTAGAAGTGGTAGTAGCAGTAGTAACAGTCGCCCCGGCGATCAGCAATTGAAGCCCTAAGCTCCTAACCATGAGCCCCCGTTGGTCCCCAAACTATGCATATACTTATTAGGTTATAGTATAGTACCCCTTAGTATAGGAACCTGAGAGTACCGCACTTATAGTATCTTTATCCTCGCAGAACCGGTATAGCCCGAGCATAACACACGCACACACGGAGAAATAATTGCATACATACCTACATGCATACATACATGTGTGTATATAGATATATATACACATACGACATACATACATACATACATACATACATACATAGGGGAGTTTCCGAACATAGGGAACCCTAATATACTATACGAAACAGTAGGAAGCTTCTTATAAGGACCCCGCAAGTATGGTACCCCGTATTTTCGGAAACTCCCATAATATATATATATATATATATATATAATCACATATACACTTATTTATGTATATACATAGGTATAGGTTATCAGGATTCAAAAGCTATGTTCTAGAGGAGACATGGCGAGGCCTTGAACAGCCTACGTATCATATACACGTAAAGTTTATACGTATAAAACGTATAATCACTGATACGTTTATACGTCGTACGGCACGCCCGGGCCCGTATACGGGCCTGCCGGGCCGTACGGCGGATACGTTTATACGTCGTACAGCCCGCGCGGGCCCGTATACGGGCCTGTCGGGCCGTACGGCGGATACGTTTATACGTCGTACAGCCCGCACGGGCCCGTATACGGGCCTACCGGGCCGTACGGCGGATACGTTTACGGGCCGGCCGGGCCGTACAGCTGATACGTTTGTACGTCCTACAGCACGCACCGGCCCGTATACAGGCCCATTCGGGCCGGACAACTACGTGGGATACGTATCCCATATACGTCAAACCACCATTATACGTATAAGTATACGTCGGATATGATACACGGATACGTAAGATATGATACGTCCTTGGGGTCCATCATTCTCTAGAAAGCATCTCCACATGCCTTTTGAATCCAGCTAAGGTATAGGTATAAAAATATAAAAAAACCTAGATATGTATAGAAACATTACGTGAAACAAACGAGAGCAGCCCAGAGAGATGCGCCTCCTCGGGCCTGCCCAGGAACAGCGAGCGAAGGGCCTCAATGCCAAGGCAATAGCTGGGCGCTTCCGAAAATTGGGGGTACCTCATTTTGGGGTCACGATAACAAGGTTCTTAGAAAGGGGTCTATGCGGGTCACAGAAAGGCTATACGGGGTATGATAGGGGTGTAGAAAAGGGGCCGTAATAGTTTGAAACGGTTTCGGGGATTGTTTTACATTATGATATGGAATGCTAAAGAACAATACAGTAATAATGCAGACTTCTATCTTGCAGAAGCGGCAACCCCAGCTGCTGCAGAAGAAGGGACAAGAGCAGCAGCAAAGCTAGGAGAGGCCCGGGGGGAGGGAATGTCTCTCGAATCCTAGAGCTACAAACGAAGATTACACAATGTCGCCAAAGACCTTCTGGCGCGTTTGTGGCGGAACACTTCGAGGTTCGATTCTTGGGCTCGTGCTGGGTGGAGTTTGACGCTTCGGCTTTGGGCGCATAGTATATAGGGCTTAGATGTGGAACTTCCAGGCTTTGTTTAGCTTGAGTGCTCGTTGGGTTTTAGAGCGCATAGGATTTGCATGAGCTACGCATGAGCTGCTGTACCAAGGTCTCTCACACGATGCCACCCTGTTTTCCCGTCTCTCAGGCGGAAAAAGCAAAACGGGGCCTCCGTCAACAGCAGCACATGTGCTTGGCAGAACTTGGCAGCGTCGCTGCTGCTTTGCCAGCATATCAGGAAGCTAGGCACTCTCGGCTCAAGCTGGAGGAAGAAGCCGAACACCCTATCAAATCAGACAGGAGAGAGTGCAACAGAGCTGGCCAAAGCCGGCCAAGCAATTTCGGATGCTTGCAGGCAAGGGCAAGGCTTCTCAAGCGGGACAGTACATGGCTCAGGCTGGGGATCTAACGACGCTCTGGCGTACCCTAACCCGAAGGGGGAGCTGGGGACCGTGGGGAAGGTTTAGATTCTAGATCCTTGCCGCAAAGCCCCTATCGGCGCTGAAAGCGCTGCTTTGCAGAGCAGGAAGTGAAACACATTGAGGAAGATTAAACACAAGCAAAACTCCAAGCAGCCTGTACATCCGCCTCTGGCTCCAAAGTGCATGAAGTTCCGATAAAGGCGTCGATCTTTCGTGTCTTCAACTGAAGATCCGAACATAGGGGCCTGATGAGGGTGGATGCCTGGAACTTTGATTGATACACTGGTTTGTGCTCGAACATAACAACTTCATATTGCGCTCCTTTGCGTGTTCATGCCTTCAATGGCGTAGTATGCAGTGTTATGTGCCCCTTTTCCTTTCGAGCACAACCTTGTGTATCAGTAGACGCTCCAGGATATACTGTAGTTGCACACGGCATATGACCAATGCAGTATCATGAATACGTATTCAGGCCCCTTGGTCTATAGACTGAGTTGCCGGACGGCCGATTCGATGCCATCCGGGTCAGTCTTCATAAGCTTAAGCTTAGTACGTCTTCATCAGCTCTGATTCGAGACCTTCTCCCTTTCTTGAGGTTAGTCTTCGTAGATCTCGTTGCTAGCCTCCATCATCATCTGCTTCAAAACCTGCACCAAAACCAGCACTTGCAAAAGTCGCAAACACAGCATTACCACGGTTGTTGGTTTAGGGAAGAACTACCAAAGTCACAGCACGTCAGGCTGTAAAGCAAATGTTTCGGTCATTCATTTTCATTCCATAGCAGTCCCAAAGCGCTGAACCGCTTCCTAAAGCCCTACTTGGAGGATCATGGGACTTAGTAATTAAGGTTATAAGTACCTTAATTGGGGTTATAAGTATAGTTACCCTAATGATAACCCTAGTTACTAAGTCCCATGATCCTTGAAGTACACACCCCAAAACCAACAATGCCCCTCAGCCTTCCATACCCCTCTCAGGAGGCTAGTTCCCCTGTTCCCCTGGGCCACTATCAAACCCTAAACCCTAAACCCTAAACCCTAAATGTTGGCCTGGTAACGGTCATAGCACCACCCTAAGGCCCCAAAGTAGTTCCTTCTTGGGGTTCATACTTAGAATCTTAGGAGGTACCTGTAGTCTCCATTGTAGTTCCTTCTTTGGGTTAACCAGTTTTATGGTTACGATTCCATAAGAGAGATTTGGGTTAAACAGAAGAAGGAACTACAATGGAGACTAGAGGTAATCCCAAGAAGGAACTACTATGGGGCCTCTGGGTAAAGCAGCCCAACACAAACCAAGAGCTGACCTTGATATAGGAGTTTCCGAAAATTAGGGATACCTTATTATGGGGTCCTACTATTTAGGGTACTATATTAGGGTCCGCTATTTTCGGAAACTCCCAAAAAGGGCCTTAAAATCAGTAGAACAGGGGATATTTGTAGCTGCAATTATAACCATGATATAGGGGCCTTAGTCATAGAACAGGGGATATTTGTACTGCAATTATGGTATAGGTAGGTATGAAGGCCCCTACATTACTCAGCCACTAAGACCACTCACTAAACTTAAAGCAATAGACCCTCCCATGAAACCCAAGACCCAGAATGCCTGTTCCAGTTCCGCTGCCACCTTTGGATCTTGCACGGCACTGACAAGACTGCCGTAGCAAAGCCAAGAGATCCTTCAGCTCAGGTCTTAGTGTTTCTGCTTATGGCCTAGCGGCCTAGTGTTTAGGGGCTTGGCGATTTTGCTAATTTTAAGCTGTACGGTCGAGGGTCTTATGTGGCATTGACAGCGTTGAGGGCTCCAGCCGTTTAGGCTTCGCGGAGGGCTTCGGTCGAGGATCCAGGTTTGTTGGAGAGTTGATGGTTTTCGAGCTTCGGGCTCTGCGGTCACAATGGCTTTGCTACGGCGTTGCAAGGTTCCGGTGGTTGTTTGAGGGCCGGACAGGGGTAGATGTTGCTAGCATAAGTGTATGTATATATATATATATATATATATATATATATATATATAATATATACATACATACATGTATAAGTACACACACACACACACTAACACATAAGTAGACAAATACATACTCCTACATACACATACGGACATAACCAGAGACGCATGCATCTATATACATATATATATATATATATATATGTACACCCCTGGATACACACCTGTATATATATATATATGCATCATATCTATATACATATGTGTGTGTACTTTGATATGTATACATACATACATACATACATACACACATACATATGCAGGCGTGTGGTGAGTAAGTCTATATAGGTACGCATGTATGTATGTATGTATGTATGCATGTGTGTATATATATGTATGTATATGTGTATATATATATATGTATATATGTATATATGTATATGTACATAATTATCATATATATATATATGTATATATATATATACCTTGAAGAATATAGTAGCGCAAGCAAAGAAGACGCGGCCCGCACTAACACGGATTAGAACTAGGTAAACCCTAAGCCCGTAACCCACCCCCTCTCCCCCAAAAAAGAACGAAACCCTCACCTCAGGGCCTATATGGTTTAGGAACAGAGCTCAAAACCACAACCCTTAAACATGGACTACACTTCACCAAGTCTCTCCACAGACTTTTGCTGAATCTGCCTTGGCAAAACGGCCGTGGCAGGTTTCGGGCTCGGAGTCTGGGTTTCGGGCTTCAAGAACTTGAAGTAGTGTCTAGGCTTTGGGGCATCCAGCTAAGGTCGAGGGTCCGAGCTATGGGGTTTGTTGGAGCTGGTCGGAACACAATGTAGGGGCTTGAAAAAATTACCTATACTATTTTGGTGGTTTCCTTCATCAGAGTTACACTTTCTTATACCCCCCCTGAAAGCTCGAAGCCGCAATCTCGAGGAACAACGCCAGCACCTGATTGAAGACTCATGGGACCTGGTAAATAGATTACAAGGCTTGCAAGAATTATTATGGAACTTACACCCATACTGTCCCATGGTAAAGAAGCCACGATGCTGAGATAATGGCAATACCTTCGCATCACCAAACCTCGGTCAAGCACATCTCCAGCGATTTCGGCTTATGCGATGCTGCTACCGCGGCACTCATCATTAGAATAGGGCCTCGGAGTATGTTATGCCAGAACCATAGAGAGCATGTCTTCAAGGGACACTACTACTCAAACCCCTGGGACCCTGGCCTATAATTGAAAGCTTTCCAGGGTCTCCCCAATACTGCCTAGGAAAGGATGAGGGGTGTGGACCTAGAGTTTACGGTTTCCTGGATGTTAAGAGCATGTGTAGGTTTATGGATGTTGAGCGCTTCCTTTAAGCTTTCGGCGCAAGACCCAAGGTTAATCTAAGAGCCCAGCTACCCATATGGGAAGTTCTGGTATAGCAGTCTAAACCCCTGAAACCAAACCCTAAAATCCAGAACCATTGCAGTAACCCACTTCATAGGCAACTAGGCTTCCAGGCTTCAATAGGGTCCATGGATGTTTACGGCTTCGCCTTCGCATTAACACTTTACAGCTTACACGGCCTCCAGATAAAGAGGTGATATTCCGAAAAGATGATTTCCATAAATGTTCTTAAAGAGTTTGCCACCATGTTATCCCCAAACAAGACCGAGTCGCTTTTTGGGTGGCTTGTGCAGGACGTCTTTGCTGGATGTTTCTCCCACGTGGTAACGGATCAACTTCTCCACACTGTCCTCGGAGATCTTCTCCAGCACGGATATGTCACACAGCCTGCGAAGCCTAGGCCCTAAACTCTAACCCACCAACTACCAGAACCAGTTTAGACCACCCGTAAAGAATTCCTGAATATTAAAGGAAGCGCCGCAACAAAACAACAAATGTATATGCCAGTGAGCCAGCGCACGGTGGATAGTCAAGGCTTAGGGTCTTTTGACTTGTGGTTTGGCAGGTATCCCCCATAGCGATGCCTAGGGCTCTGTAGGGGGTTCTGGGGGTTGTAGTTACCTGTTAAAGTGTTCAATAAAGTGTTCATGTACCGGAAACAAGCGACCTCAAATGTGATCACGCGCTCCGGGAAATATCTATTAAACCCTACACACTAATTATCCCCAAACCCTAAACCCCAAACCCTACACCCTAATTATCCTTAAACCCTAAACCCTACACCCTAATTATCCCCAAGCCCTAAACCTCAAAACCTTAACCCTGACTATCCCAAAACTACACCCTAATCATCCCTAAACCCTAAGCCCCAAGACCCTGGTTGTCCCTAAACCCCAAATCCCACACCCTAATTATACACCGCGCAGGCAGGGTAACATAGGGGCCCTAGTGCTTTGAAGAGGGTTTGGGGGCCCCTTATACTATAATTTCTACTTGTAACAAGGAACCCCAACAATCATATTGGCAATTATTGAGGCCCCTATACTACATCCTCATTCATATGAATAGCCCTTATAGTAGCCCTTATTGATCCCTTTATTTAAAGGAACCCCGCCCCCCAAATTGTATAATTAAGCCCCTGTGGTAAACAATGAAACCTTCAGAGACGAACATGGGATCAGGACCCGGCGAGCCCAAGAACCCTTCATTATCCAGAGGTGGTAGCGTTTTTAAGAGTTTAGGGGTCAGGCATTTAGGGGTTTAGGGGTTTAGGGCTTAGGGGTTTAGGGGTTTAGTTTAGAGGGTCCATGCAATGCAACCGCAAAGTACACACATCGGCCCTGGGAGTAATTAACCATGCCGGGACATCTTGAAGGGCCAAGGAAAACTGCTGGGGTACCCAGACCATAGTAATCCCACGGGGTAGACTACTCCCCAGATCATAAGGAAGAATCCCTAGTTGACTGAAGGAACACTCCGTAACGCAGGGGTAAACCGTGGTCTTTCCCAACTGTAAGCCTTGAAACAGCCTAGGACCCAGATCAAGCTCCCTGTTGAACACTAAAAGAAACCCTGTATTATACTATATTATTATACTATTATACTATTATACTTTTACTATAATTATTATTATATTATTATTATTATTATTGTTGTTGTTATCTTTATTGTTATTACTGTTGTTATTATTATTATGATAATACTATCATTATTATATTGCTACTCAAACCCGAACCATCCTTCCCACATTTGCGGAGCTTGTGCATATTAACAACTAGTTATATCTGTATGTTTATATACATATATGCGTACATTCGTACACAACACACATCTTGGAAATGTAGATAGAGGCTTGTTTGAGACTTTCCGAAAATAGCAGACCCTAATATAATACCCAAAATGGAAGGATCCTCATTATAAGAACCCCCAAAATCAGGTACCCCTAATTTTCAATTTTCGGAAACTCTAATCCCTTATAGCGCCCTTCAGAGGAAACCTCAGAAGTTCCCTATACTATTCACTCCAGAGATCGGCAGCCTGCGCTGGTGGTTGACCCAACTCTGGGCATTGAGAAGGGACTTCTCACACCGCGTGGTGACGTAGATATGGACATCCTTCAGTTGCTCAGGGGTTCGGGGTCGGGGGGTTGGGGGGGGGGGGGGGGGGGGGGGGGGGGGGGGGTTGGGGGGTTGGGGGGTTGGGGGGTTGGGGGTTCCGTTATGAGGATACCAAAAAGAACCATAAGGCTTCGATGAGGGCTCTGTGAGGGTCACCCTAAGGGATCTATAAGGGTTGAGGGCTTAGGTCTCGCAGAGTTTGGGGATTGGGTCTTACGGTTCAGTTCTGTCCAGGTTTTGCCACAACCAAAAGGATAGGATCCTACAGTTGGTGCAAAGCGCTCCTTATTGTTTTGTTAGTGTTACTACCACCATTATATTATGATCGTCATTGTTACTAGTACATACTATTACTATACCACTCTTTTCATTGTTACGCCCCCAAGCAGCTTCCAATCATTGCGTTTATGGCCTAAGCTTTGTCTGCATCGGTGTAGGGCTGTTGCGTTCTAGGGTTTGTGATCAGGGTGTAGGATCCCTCCCTGCTGATGGGCCATAAGAGCCCTCTGTCTCTCTCTCTATCTCTCTCTCTCTCTCTCTCTCTCTCGCTCTCTCTCGCGCTCTCTCTCCAAATGAAGGTTACCTAATTTAGAAACCTGAACCATATCCACAATCGTTCCTCAGGGTTCCTGAAAGTAAATGTTCCGTACTGTCACTGTGAACCCTATTTACCCGAAATGTTAAAGCCCCTATAGTCTACCCCCTTAGAACCATAATACTTGTTGCTCTGTTTTTTTGGGGGGTTTATATGAACAAGAATGATAATCCCAAAGGGGCTCTAGTATACGACTCAGCCAGGGAGGCCTGGAGCTGCAGAGGAGAGAGTCCATCAACGATGGGCTTAACCTGCGGGCTGATCCAAAGTTGCTGAGTTCATAAGCCCCCACCAATAAGAGTGCACACTTTCAGTTTTATAGTGGGTAATATTATTCCAAAAAGTGTGACGTGTATCCACTCAGCTACTAAGTGTTCCAAGGTTCCAACTTCCGGTTTCCAGGTGCCCAGAATGGTGATCTAGGGGTTAGGCTTCAGGGAAGTTTGAATGGAGGCTCATAATGGAGGTTTGGGAGTATGTTGTACGGAGTTATACGTATTGTGATACAAGAACCCCAAGGACTCAGGGCTATACTCCGAATTACTCCGACCCCCTTTATTGGAGCTGTTGCTACTTACGACACCTTCAAAGGGCTTCCTTCAAGGATGCTTGGAATTAGGAAGTGTTGCTAACCTTCATTGTGCTGAGGGTTAAGGCGGTTAAGGCTCACTGTGCTTTTTGCCTTGCTTGCAACATACTTGCTACGAGCTAGATCTTTATTTTTCAAGCATGGCAAGTCTGATTTGGAGAAATGCCCCCCTGCCCCCTCTGCCCACCTCCCGCCAGTCCACGATGAGTATGATGGCTCCACGCGCCTTGCGCTCCATCCACCTCGATCTCACGAAGCTTGACGCTTGACACCAGGGCCCCTTAAGACCCGAAACCCTCCCTCAAAGAAACAAACAACTTGAAGCCCCCGGACCTGAGGAAGCCGATGGCCTTCTTGTAAAACGAACATCGGCAGCCACAGCTGCCCGCTATGTTCCTGGGTTCTTCGAGCGGCGAACTAAAGAGAGTGGCTTGAATGTAAGTGGTGTGCGTAACGTTATGAAGTAGGTAGCTATGGTGTCATAGGCTTGAGAAGGCTTTTTTGCTAGCTAACGACCAACACACCAAACCTAGTCCCTGAAGCACGATACTTTAACACCAAAGCTCTGCAATTCCGCACGCTGGTTCTGCTGCTCCGACTTCATACACCCCTCGTAGCACCAAACAAGGGTGGCCGCCTCCGCCGATACCTGGCAGGAGGGTTTAGGGTGTAGGATGGCGGGGCTTGCCATGAATTCGAGTAATCTAGAGGCGTTAATACGTAGAACAGGTTTTGGTGTATTTACTAGAACTATGATAAGGAGCCCCCAAATAGCATTGGTAATTAATAAAGCCACTAAATTAATCGTGAGAGCTCCGCCCTGTGAAACGGTAGCTAGCCGCTAGCCACCCACTAGGGATCAGAAACACCCGTTCCAGAATCATACAGGGCAATACAGAGTTACTTTGGAAGGGGCCCCACCACCCTGTAATAGTGGTATAATCGGAATATAATAGGGCCCTAATATAATCCTTATAGTCACTATTACAGGGTGGGGGCAGCTTCTAAGAGATACTGAAGATGACTCAGCTTTAATTTATTAAGCAGGGCATACTGGGCTGACTTTTTTGGTAAAGACCCTGACTATGCCATTTTCAGTACCCTCCCACCTCTGATTCAGACGTCGGTACAGCGGATGCCATCGTCACCTGCCACTCTAGGCATACATTCAAGACTAAAACATAAAAGGAAATCCCAAACCCTAAGCCAACATAACCTGGATCCTAAGTCAAAAGATATCCAAAAGACGCGTACAAAGAATACTCTATACCCTCAGTCAATACTACACCCTGAACTACTGAACCCGAAAACCCAAAGCAAAACATGCCTGATGTAGGGGAGTTAATAATTAGAATAGGGGCTGGGGGGCTCTTTGTATAATATACCCCCAAACCCTATTCTAATTGTTAACCCTATACTAGAACTCCTAAAAAGCGATTTCAGGCGCAGCTTCCATGCCGATTGCCGAAATGCTGCTAGGCCTACTGCAAGCCGCCGGCGAGCCCAGGGCACTGTCCGGATACCCGCTTGAGCAAGAGGATTCGGTTTTACGCAGGGTTGAATTTCATGTTCTTGTTTAGGCTTCAACAGAGAATCGAGGGGGCCTAGGGTCTGGGTTTCAGGTTTCAGCGTTCAGGGGTTTGGGCTCTACAGTTTCAAGATCTTAGTTTTCTAGACCCAGGAGTAACCTAGGAATAAAAAGGGTGCCCTTTTTGGTTTAAAGGGGCTTATAAGGGAACCTGAACCCTTAAAAAGGGAATAAGGGCCTACTCTAGGTCCTAGTTTTTGTGTGTCTGAAGCTTGAGTCGAAAAGCGTAGTTCTTATGGACACCAAGAGACCCTTGACCCGGAAGACGCAGATTTTCCTTGGGGTTAAGGATAGGGGTTGACGCCTTATGGTTTCGGGGTTTAGGGTATAAGGTTTAAGATAGGGGATTAGGGTTTACGGTCTGAAAGGGCCTCTTGCGCAAGCTGCATAGGCTCATCAGGAGGCTATGTAAGTCGGTCCTACGTGAACTTACAGAACGGAATGAGCCTTATCCGGTGTCCATGACCTTAGCACACTCAGAACCTAATGTAGGGGTCTTAATAGTCAGGATTCGGGCTCCGGAGCATCTCATACTAGCGGGGGGGTCCTTCAAAAGTAGGAGTACCTTGCTTAAGTGCCTGCATAATAAAAGTACTGATGCTACGATGCACACGTTTATTCACACGGTCCAGCGTTATTGTGCTCTTTCTGGATGGGGGCCCTTAAAATAATAGGGACTTACCTCACTGGCCGAAAACCCAAGGGAATAAAAGCTGAAACTTTCAGAATCGACTACCTGACAAGAACCCCAAAAGTTGAAAAGTTGAGTCTACAGCCAATACCCTATCCCTCCATCGGACCTCAGAGTTAGGGCCCGAGACCCCTTGAGGACCCCATAATAAGGTCCCTGGAGGCATAGGGATAAGTTACGGAAATACTTAAAGGATCATGGGACTTAGTAACTAAGGTTATATTTTAGGGTAACTATACTTACAACCCCAATTAAGATACTTATAACCGTTATAACCTTACTTACTAAGTCCCATGATCCTCCAAGTAAGTTACGGAAGGTTACGGCTTTTCGGCTTCTCGTTGTCGGCTCCAGGGCTCAGGGCAGAAACCATGACAACCACCGAGGCAGCCTACACACCGGGTAGTTGTCAAAATTAGGCTCCCTTTTCTCGGTGACAACCACCCACATCTAGCAAGCACTTTAGGTACTGACCTTGCGGAGAGACTATACGATCAAGAATCAAGAACACCCGATAAACGGTGAAGCAAAACTGCTGCAGAGAATATGTGGGTTCATGGTTCAGCATCGCAGCAAGAAGTTCGCTATGCCGGAACGTGCAGGAAGCTGCTTCTTTAGGACTGGCACTTCAACTATCAGGGCTTTCGTAAAAATCCACCCAAACAGGTTTAATCCATGGTCTACCGTTCGAGCCTATAAACCCTAAACACTTGATCCAAAAACACCGCCATGCCTCGACTGTGAACACTCTCGAAACAGCAGGGCTGGAGGTGTTCAATGCTACCCCGGCCATGGTTTTTTGGTATGCAAAAAAACCCACAACATATTCTAAGTCCTTATGCCCAAACACTAAAACTCCCGAACCCTAGACCCTCAGCCACGCCCCACCCCCCTCTCCCTTAACAAATATCGACCCTGCGGCGAAGATGCGCTGCTTGCCACGGCAGCTGCATGCGGCACACACGGGGCCCCGCTGATTTGGGCTGCGAGCTCCTCTGCAACCCGCGATTTAATGCAAGGACCATGGTAGTCAATATCGAAAATAGAGGCATTGAAAAGGGGCTCTAAAAGGGTTCTACAGAGGTTGACCGGCCGTTTGGGGTATGTTCTTTGATTACCGTAATAACGAACCCGAAAGGGAATAGTACTGGCAAGTATTCAGGCTTCATGCTACAGGGTTTCAACAGGGTCGTGCAAGGCTTTCAATCAGTTTGGCAAAGGGTTTAGCGCGTAGGATGTACTGGTTCGGGGTTTGGGGCTTGCACACACAGTACTTACTTTGGGGAGTAACAGGCTATAATTATGTAGTATCTACCGCGGGTCGTTGCGGTGGTGTTACCATAAAGCACCCAAGCCAACCGTTCTTGTAGGATCACCATAAATTCTATACAAGGGCTATAAGGGTTCGTTCTGAGAATCTGTTAGAAGCTAGATTAAGTTAGCTGTTAGCTTAAGTAGGATTACCTGTTCGGGGGACAACGGGTTTAGGCTTTGAGTTTTCAGGAAGCGCTGCTGGACGCAAGATTAAAAGTTGTGAAAGAGAAGTCACATCATCTGAGCCCCTAAACCGCCGCGGAGTGGACACTGGGGCAAGCTTCGAATCCCTGAGTTTCCAAACTGACTCTTAGTCTTGTCTTGACTGTTTCTGGGAACCGCATTCATAATATATTACTGTAATATGATATCATTATAGTATAGTATAGTATAATGTACTCTCATATAACATAATATAGCAGCTTCTTGACGAGAGTCCGACCCAAGCCCCCCGACATCCCAAATCCTTACCCCATAAGACCTTTCAAGCCAACACCCACTCTAAGTGTCGATTTCAAAAAACCCCGAAGTCTATAATAAGGGAAAGTAAACATGACCCCAAATCGACACAAAGAATTTGGCAGGCTTTTAGTGCAGACAGGTTTACCTGTGCTGGAATAAAGCATGGAACAGGCCGTGTTATCACCATTCAGTGATAATGAACCTTAGCTTCCAAGCTGTCAGAATGACTGCTGTTGCTGCACCTAATGTTGCTGCTGCTGGTGATGATCCATCGATGGCATTTCTGGACTTTTACAGTAGTTTATAGTCTGTGTACTATCGCAGGTTACCTCTGATCGAAATGCAGATTGTTGTGATGGTCACTCTGCAGCCAGTACCACTCTGCTTTCTGTCTTCCTGTATACTCTATATGACAAGTACCACCAGCATTTTGATCTAAAGGTCCTCGACTGCGTTCTTATCTCCCATGGCAAGCTGCGCGACGGCCGCGCCGATGCCTCGCAGGAAGATGTTCAGGGCTTTACGCGGGTATTTAGGGCTTATAGGCCCCTAAACCCGAAACCTTAAACCCCAAACCCAGGGGTACAGGGCCCTAAACGCGAATCCTTAAACCCCAAACTGCAGCGTTCACTGCCAGCCGACTGGGTGCCTGCTCCTGGTATAGGAAGGAAAGCACACAGAGTATCCTGGGGGCTCCCTTTCAAAGCGCCGGGAAATCGCCACCGAGACTGAAAGGGATCCCAGAGAGATGGCAAATTACAGCCCTAGGTGATTTGGCGTCCGTGGGCAGGTCCATACTGACTTGCAAGGCCTGCAATTGGGCCGTATATAAAATCCTCAAGTGATCTCAAACTCTATGCCTGCTGTGACAGTCCTGTATGCAACCGATGAACTTACCAGATACCCCGAGAAAGCGGAGAGGTCCTGCACTTTCCTGCAATCCGAACCTTCAGAGTTTGCGAAAAAACAGGGGGTCCTGGATACAAACCTCGAGTCTTCCTCAAATCTAGCATCTTGCACTCCTTCAAACAGGAAAAGGAGGGATCCTTAATGGGGACCCCTACCCTATCATGGGCTATATAATGGGTATATAATAGCTAATTAAGAGTATATACCTGGGGGTCCTTACTAAGGGTCCCTCCTTTTCCCCTTTGACTCCTTCTTCAGATAACTATGGCTATACTGAAACCCAGTGCCCGAAACCCTGAACCCTGAGACCAGGTAGAACTCTTCTCAGAACCGGTACAGAAAACCTTATATTCAGTCTTGCAACAGCCCGTCTAGAAGCCTTTGTGCTGACCCTATGGGTAGTTGTCAAAATTATGGTCCCTTTTGAGATCCCTAATTTAATACGGCACCGAAAATATAGGGTACCCGAAAAGGGGCCCTAGTTTTGACAACCACCCATATGGTGACGCCTGCCAGTGCAGCGCTCATCGAGACGGCACGGCGTGCAGGAGGTGCCGGCGTGCTGGAGGCTACGGCACCTCTGCTTTTGGAGCTCCGCTTACCAAGGGTTAAAGGGTTCCGTAAGGGCACTACAGGGGTTAGAGTTCAGAGTTTAAGTTGTCGGTGTCGCTAGGGTGGGTTGGAGATGCTTGCAGTTTAAGGCAAGCATGGGACCAGAGCTTAGGTTTTGTTTGGAGGTGGTTCCTGTAAGGTCCATGTTTGGGGCTCAGGCGGTTGATTACACAGGTGTTGGAAGGTCTCGGTGGTGTTTCTTGCCAATTTCACAAAGCTTATGGAAAGTGTACTTAAAGGATCATGGGACTTAGTAACTAGGGTTATAATTAAGGTAACTATACATATAACCCCAATTAAAGTACTTATAACCTTACTTACTAACTCCCATGATCCTCCAAGTAGTTTAAGCCAGGGCATTTGGATTTTTTTGAGCCGGGCTTAAGGGTATTACGGCTTTCGGCTTCGGGAAAGCCCCAAGGCCTACGGCCCCACATGCAGTCTGCAAACGAACGAGGTGCCATGAGACCTAAACAGCTCAGGCGAAATGTGCGTTTCCGAAAATTAGGGGTACTTTATCTTGGGGGGTCCTTATAATAAGGATCCTACTCTTTGGGGGTAACTAC